CTGCCCGTGTTGATCTCTCTCCCTTATTGTTATTTTCAGCCAGTTTATTTTTGAGCCCACCCATCCCCCTCCCCCCTTAAACCTTCCTGAGAAGTCAAAGCAGAGAGAGACAGTGAATATTTTTTTGGGGCACGTTTTTATTATTATTATTTGCGACTGCGAAGATCTCATCCCCGCTTTCACACCAGCCTCCTTTTTTTTTTTTTTTTCCTCCCTTCTTCTTCCCCCCTTTTTCTCCTCCCCCCCCCGCGCTGATGCCGAAGGGGGTGTTTTTGATGTGGTTGCTTTGGTGGTGATCGTCGCCGACTTTCCAGAGAGGGTGTTTTTCGCCGCCGCCACTGCTGCTGCTGCTGCTTCTCTCCGCGTTGTGTGTGTGCGCGCGTGCTTTTTTTTTTGGTTGCTGCATCGCCGCTGGGAAGATGCTTCTGGATGCTGGACCGCAGTATCCCGCCATAGGAGTGACTACCTTCGGATCGTCTCGCCACCACTCCGCGGCCGATGTCACGGACAGAGAAGTGGGGCTGGGGATCAACCCCTTCGCCGACGGCATGGGCGCCTTTAAAATCAACCCGAGCAGCCACGAGCTCGCCTCGGCCGGCCAGACCGCCTTCACGTCGCAGGCGCCCGGCTACGCGGCGGCGGCCCTGGGCCACCACCACCACCCGAGCCATGTCAGCTCCTACTCCAGCGCCGCTTTCAACTCCACACGGGACTTTCTGTTCCGCAACCGCGGCTTCGGCGAGGCGGCGGCAGCCAGCGCCCAGCACAGTCTCTTCGCCTCGGCTGCCGGCAGCTTCGCGGGGCCGCACGGCCACACGGACGCCGCGGGCCACATCCTCTTCCCGGGGCTGCACGAGCAAGCGGCGAGCCACGCTTCGCCCAACGTGGTGAACGGGCAGATGCGCCTCGGCTTCTCCGGAGACATGTACGGCAGACCCGATCAGTACGGCCAGGTCACGAGCCCGCGCTCCGAGCACTACGCGTCCACCCAGCTGCACGGCTACGGCCACATGAACATGAACATGGCAGCGCACCACGGGGCAGGGGCCTTCTTCCGCTACATGCGGCAGCCCATCAAACAGGAACTCATCTGTAAGTGGATTGAGCCCGAGCAATTGTCAAACCCCAAAAAGTCCTGCAACAAAACTTTCAGCACGATGCACGAGCTGGTGACTCATGTCACGGTGGAGCACGTTGGAGGACCCGAGCAGTCCAATCACATATGTTTCTGGGAAGAGTGTCCGAGAGAAGGGAAACCTTTCAAGGCCAAATATAAACTTGTAAATCACATCAGAGTCCACACAGGTGAAAAGCCTTTCCCCTGCCCTTTCCCAGGCTGTGGCAAAGTGTTTGCCAGATCAGAGAATCTCAAAATACACAAAAGAACTCATACAGGTACAGTAACCGCTGCTGTAGCTTTTCTTGCCGCGCGTGACGGCGCCGAGAGCGTGGGGCGCGGGGAGGGACGCGGCGCGCGGGCCTGGGGCTACTCTGCGGGGGTCGGGGCCGGCGGGGAACGGTCCACGGCGACGGGATTTCCCTTAGGAGCAGGCTCGGAGCTCCACGGCAAAATAAGCTCGATCACAGACACGCCGGCGGCAGCAACAAAAAGAAAATTCACTCTGATGTGGCTGAGGGAGGGGGATAAAGGCAAAATTTCCTGCCGGGATTGCGAGGGCAGGCGTAGAAAAAAAAATCGCAGCAACCTGTCCTGTTAAATTTATAGGTTTTAATTAATTGGTCTTGGGCGGTTTTGACTGTGGCATGATGAGAAATTGTGCTAAATATCTCGGGCAGCTCATCTGTCTCCGCTCCGCCGTTCAGGGAGTGCTAAATATTTAATTCCGCGGAGCCGAGGGTTAAAGCAGCCGAGCCCGGCGCGCCGGTGCGGGGCTGTGGTGCGGGAGGGAGGCAGGCGCTGGGATCCCGGAGAACTTTCTTGTGCCAGTGGGAGGCACGGGGGAAGCCTCAACCTGGGGGAGCCGCTTCCCCCACATCCACCCAGGCAGCGCCGCTTCCCGAGGCGCTTTCACGGCGGGCTCGGGGCTGCTCTTTCTTGTCTCGGATTCCCCGGGCGAACTATTTCCAATATTGCAAGAAAATAAGGGGGAGGGGGACGCAGAGTGTTGGAGGGCAAAATATCACGAGAATAGGCTATAAAAACGGAAAGTAGACACCGAGGATTGCGTGTAAACATCAGCACGCCTGCTCTGCCTCTTCGAACCTTGCAAAGAGGAGACACGCTCAGGGCCGGGGCTCCTAAATGTAACTCGTTCCTTAAAAAAAAAAAAAAAAAGAAAGAAAGAAAAAAAAAAGAAAAAAAAGTTTTTTTGGCAGCCCTTCTCGCATAACAGGCACTGAGCAAGTCGGAGTTGCGGGAAAGAGAGAGAAGAGAAGAAAGATTTGGGGATTTGAGCCTCTTTCAACTTAGAAAGTTGCGAGTGTTTGCAATGCAGTGCGGCGCTTCCGTCCGGCAGCGCGATGGGGACAACAAGGGGTTCAGGCGGSCCTGCTAATCCGATCCTTTTCCCTCCTTTCCCTCTGCAATAGGTGAAAAACCATTTAAGTGTGAATTCGAGGGCTGCGACAGGCGCTTTGCAAACAGCAGCGACCGCAAAAAGCACATGCATGTGCACACTTCCGACAAGCCCTATCTCTGCAAAATGTGCGACAAGTCCTACACACACCCCAGCTCCCTCAGAAAGCACATGAAGGTAAACGGAGAGCGCGGGCCTTGCGCGGGGGCRGCCCCGAGGGGGAATGGAGCACGGGGCGACGGCGGGACCGGGCCGCGGGGCCTGCGCGGCGCAAGGCGGGTTCCGCGAAGGATYCACCGGGCCTGGCCGGACGGCATCCTGTTCTGTGGGATTCGGGATCCGCGGGTGCCGGGATGGGGGCCGCCCCTCCGGGCACTGGCTCCCCGCGGCGGCGGCCCCCACGTCGGGCCGGGCCTGGGATTCAGGCGYGATGTTCCGCGCACCGCGCAGAGCCGCAGGCAGCAAGGGCCGCGCTCTTCTTTCTGCGCCCTATTTGTGCCCGCATCTCTCTTGCAGGTCCATGAGTCGTCCTCGCAGGGCTCGCAGCCCTCTCCCGCCGCCAGCTCGGGCTACGAGTCCTCCACGCCTCCAACCATCGTGTCTCCATCCACAGAAAACCAGACCACCAGCTCCTTATCCCCTTCCTCCTCCGCAGTCCACCACACGTCCAGCCACAGCACGCTCACGTCAAATTTTAACGAATGGTACGTGTAAAACGCTAAAACAAAACAACAGAAAAAAAAAAAAAAAAACAAAACGAAACAAAACAACCCCCCCAAGCGAGCAAACAAATACCCTATTTAAAAGACTCTAAAATAATGAACACTTTGAAATCAGAATTTTAAAAAGCAAACAAAAATAGAACGCTGCCAGTAGACCCAGGACTGAGTAAAATGAAGACTTTTTTTTGTTCTTGTTTCATGTTTTGTGTTTTTTTTCCCTTCCTTTCTTTTTGTCCTTTTACTTCTCCCCCTCCATCTCTCTCCTTATTAAAAATATATAGTCTTTTTTTTTCTTTTTTTTTTTCTCTCTCCCTCTCTCTCTCTCTCTCTCTCTCTCTTTTAATTTAAATTTTTGGTCTGTTCTGTTCTTCTCTGTTGCAAGGCTTGGTAGGCGAAGGGGTTAGTAGAATGCAAAAGAAGACAAGGTTACCAGGGCAAATGCCAACCGTGTAGGGCTTTACTGGAAACCACTGATTAGAGATGTCCAACTGCATGTCTGCTCGGGCAGCGGCCTTCCCCCCTATCCCCTCCTGTAAATACAGAATTATTAGCTTCAAAAAAAAAATGTACTGTTCGATTTTGTAAATAGTTATATCGCAAGTTGAATAAGGGGATATGTGGAGTTGTGGTCTTTGCATATATGTGGGGGGAGGGGAGGGAGGGAGGGAGGGAGAGGCGGCGGGTGGGGCGGAGGTGGTGGGGGGGCAGAGGGAAGAGGTAGAAATTCAACTATTTGTACTGAATGGCAAGAATGTTCTAGTAAATGTGTACCAAAATGTGAATTACTTTGTATTATTACAGTCTAAACGTCGATCTAACAGAATATTATTGGTATTAATGTGCTTTTTTGTATAAAGTGCAACATTTCGTCCCAAAGTCCAGTCTAAGTAGTGCAGTAAAATGTTGTTACACGTCCTGTCAAGAAATTCGTATAGTGAAGGCCTGGATCTGCGTGTCAAACTGTTACATTTGTTTATGTAAAGTGATATTAAAAAAAAAAAAAAAAGATATAAACTATATCTGTCCGTTGCTTTTGGCAAATACAAGAACATAATGTATATAAATCCTAATTTCCATATTTATCCGCATGTAAAGGTCCGGTTATACATGTTACAAGATATTCAATATTTATGGCTAGAAGAATTGGTATGTAAAATTTAGTTTACAGAACTGTTTGGTAACATTTCGTACCTTATTAAAGATTCTTAAATCCCATGAATTGTGGTAGGAATTCTTATTCGCTCAGTCAACCTGCTGCAACTTCAACTAGCTTTAGGATATTAGAATAAAACTGTCCCAGTTTTTCACTGCTTTCCATTATGTCATCACTAAAGCAGCGAAGGTGATATAAATGTGATAAATGAAAGGATCCCTGCTGGCATTACTATAGTGTGTAATTAGTATTTATATCAAAATTTATGAAACAAATTTTCGGCCGCAGTATAATTTAAATGACCTTTGCAGACATAGAATAACAACCATAAAAATAACAGAAATAGATTGCATATGCTACATAAATATTAATGTGGGGAATTGTTACATGAGAAGTGCTTCACTCCAGCGCTGCCCATGAATCTGCATAGACTGGGTCCCTAAATTAAATTAATTCGGATAACATATATTAGGAGATTTAAAACAGAGGAGATTTCGGTTGCTATTTTAATTTAGAGCATTTATGACCATAACTAATTCCGAGGCAGTGGATTCATGACTTTCCTTGGGCCTTTTACTCTAAGAAGTACAGCACTGGTTCGCGAAGGCCGTTGTTGTTGATTTTGTTGTTGAGTGTATTTTTTGTTTTGCCTTTTTTTTTAATCCTTTCCCTTTTTTCTTTCATTTTTTTTCCCTGATATTCCTTAAAACATGATGTTAATTTAAATCAATTACTTCTTCTGTTATGTTATTATTATTACTATAATTTTACCAGTGTTAATAGCTTTCTAAAAAAAAATAAATCTAGGAGATAAGAATTATTTTATGTAATTTGATTATCTTCCTATCTCTTTTATTTATTTCTCATTTACTTAAGAAATTCGTTCCATTGGCTGGCGTTGATACAGTAAATTTGTAAATGAGAAGACAATATAAAAAATCTAAATTACTTGTGCTTAATGACTGTAGCAGAACGCCTTTTCTCTAAATCAGATTGTCTTCCTTGCAGTTTAGTTTGATAGATTTGCAAGCTGTACTGCTTCCACTAACTTAGCCACGGTTGTTGGAACTGTTGGGCTTTGTTCCTGGTTGTAGCCTGCATGATCGCCCCATTAAGCAGACAACGTATCAACAGACAACACAAATCATGAGGTTGGCTAAAGCTGCGAGGGCTTGCGATATGTCATAGAGTGAATTGCASGGACTGACCTTCCAGTAGACCAGGATGACACTTTAACAGCTTCTTTAAAGAAATATTATGTGTACGGCGAGGCAGTAGGGAGACTCCGAGCTGGCGGGGGAGGGGGCGGCCGGGGCTGCTCTCCGGGTGGCGGGGTCTTCACTGGCCCTCGCACGGGGACAGCCCGCGAGAGGATGGGAACAGAGCCCGTGGTTTTGTCGCTCCCTAGCATCGGGGTATTTCTCTCGGTGAGTTTCACCGCCCTCAAGGGTCCCCTTTTCCCCTGTGAAGTTTGCAGGGGACAGGGGGAGCCTCACTGCTGCGGGCCGGGCATCGCGGGAGAAAGTGGCAGAAGGGGCTCGGTTTAACGTCACTGTCTACAAAATGCTCATTATTATTATTGTTATTATTATTATTACTATTATAAGCCTAATATCAGTTTTCAATGAAAAGAGCGCCACCTTGCAGGGTTTGGCGAGATAGGAAAAAAAGTTCGAGACCGGTGGGACCCAGGCTGAAATTGTTGGTACTTGGGGAAATGTGATCCAGCGGGGAGAAGTGCCAGGGAAATATGCTTAGCGTGTCGAAAATGTTACACTGTGTGCATCTAACTGTCCCGTCGGCTTGTCCTGGCGGGAGTTTTAAAAAATGACTTGAGGGCAGCTAGGAAAAAGAAATGTAGAGTTAGTGCAAGCTATGCTCCTGTAAAATAAACGGGAGAAATGTAACGCGGGCAATATATTTTAAAGATGAATATTGCAAGTTTCTTTGAACTTCTCTGGAGTCCCTAGTGGTCGCTTAGCACGGGTCTGTTACTTACGTGTTTGAGCACTTGGCTAACGAGTATGCTTTAAAACTTTGGGTCGGAGGCTCGTTTCAGCGTCCTAGCGCATCGGGARCGGGTTTGTTGCTGCTGCTGCTGTTGTTTTCTCTCGGGGGCGGGGGTGCAGCCCTGCTGGATCGCCATACCATATATGTTCTGAATTAGCGCCGATCACTGGGGCTGCGCTCGCTGAGCTCAAGCCCACGTCGTGCTCGTGATGTTGCCTCTGCGGAGAGGAGCGGGTCTTTAATACAACCTCCCCCCCTCCCACTAAAAAAAAAAAAAAAAAAAGGCAGCGACAGGGGCATTTTGCAGGCAGAGGTAGTGGGGAGTCCATCAGCGGTTTCCCTGCTCATACAGCGGTGGAGCCCGCGGCCCGGTACCCGGGCGCTCTTTGTGGATTTAAGCGCGGAGGTTTGTGGAGAGAAACGTTAATCCCAGGGCTGCAACTTCGACGGGCTCCGTCGCTTTGTTTGCACCCATAACGCCCGGGTTTTGGGATGGTTTGGGGCACCCTCTCTAGTTTTGGGAATTCACGGATGTTAGGAGCAGGTCCACGCTGCGCACCAGCGGAAGGCCTGTGCACTGCTGCGTGCTCTGGAGCAGCTCAAGTGCCGGGGCCCGACGTGCGGCTGCCGCCGGCGCCGTTCACAGCTCCCGCGCCCGCGGAGCCTCCCGCGGCCGAGGAGGAGCGTTTGGGGAGAGGCAGGAGAGAGCGGCGGTGCCTGCGGGAGCGCGCGGGGCTGCGCGCAGAAACCGAAATGCCAAAGGAAGGGAAAAAAAAGAAAAAGAAAAGAAAAACCCAACAATAACCGGGCGCTTCCTTTTCCCCCCGAAAGCCTCGCCTTTCAGGTCTTTTTAATGGCTTGTGAGTGATCGCTTGATTTTTTGAAAAGGCGAGGCCGGCATTCACCGCGCAAAGTTCTCTCCTTTAAAGCAGACGCTGCTTGAAATGGGGACAGTGCCTAGGCACTGGCCTCGCCGGCTTATCGCGCTCGGCCAAAGCAGCCCCTCGTCTGGTGCACCGAACTTGGGGACTTTTATTTACTGCTTTTTCTGGCCCCGCTGGCAAAGGGGCTCCACTTTGTAAGTTTTCCCACGTCCAGAGCACTTGCTCCTTCTAGAGCAACTTTCAGACAGTGCGAAGTGTTGGAAACGCCGCTGCCCGCTGCAGCTGGAGCCCTCAGAAATGTGCGACTCGCGCCCAGGTCGGAGGGACAACCAGCAGAATACGTGGGGAGCCGACGCCTCACTGCAAAGACCTCCAGGAGACAGGATGAGGGGGGGAAAAAATCACCCCTATATGTACCTAGATATAAAGCTACTGATACAGGCCAGAGTATTTCAAGTGCCTWGATGCTAAAAGAGCCTGGGCGTATTTTACTGCTAATGCTTAGAGCGCAAATTATTTGTAAATATTATCATTGCACATATATTTTAAGTTTTTTTTTCTTTTTTCTTCTTCTTTTTTTTTAATCGCTATTGATTGTGCAATGCACACAAACACGGCACGCCTTAGCACGCGTGTTCCTCCCCGTCCACGCACGCCCCACTCCTGCCCGAGGAGGTGCCCCGCCGCTTGTGTGAAGTGCGGGCGCGTTGCATGGCCCCGCATGTGTCCGAGAAGTGAGCGTGGCCCCGCGCAGCCCCCGCGGAGCTGCTGCCTTCGCCCTTGCAGGCGGCCACTCACTGCTGCCTTCGCGCACCGGGGCCGCGGGAACTGCGCGGGGAGGACGCGCTGCCGCCTTCGCCYCTGCGACCCGCAGGATACCCACTCTTTGTTGCACATGGGAATCGCTATTCGCATTACTGGGTTTATTTCTTATATATACACAGACACCCGCATTTAAACAGCGGTGCTTTGGAAGGATTCACGTGCACATATTTACGCGGAGATGTATTTCTGAGGGCGCACGTAAGCTCTAGTATTTACCTGCTCTATACAAGGGACCGTATGTACCAAAAACGGTGTGTTTTTTAAATTAATCCGGTGAGGTTAATAATGGAAATCTTAATTTTGAACCATTCACTTTGCTGAATGTATTAAGGTACATTCTCTTTCATTATAAACAGGCTTTCTTTCTTTCTTTCTTTCTTTCTTTCTTTCTTTCTTTCTTTCTTTCTTTCTTTCTTTCTTTCTTTCTTTCTTTCTTTCTTTCTTTCTTTCTT